CATGATCCGTGCCGGCGGCAACCAGGTGACGTTGCTGGTCATCGATCCGGATGGAGACAAATTCTACAGCTCGGTACGTGGTGCAGTGTGAGGGCTGGTGGGCAGCAGGGAGAGATGCCAACCCTGCACTCTTTGGGGGCAGCAGCCCCACAGAAATTCCTCCCTGGGTACCCTCTGCCATTCAGTGCTGGGCCTGGGTCACTATATGCCCATGGCCATGTGGGATGTCAAGACAGAGGCCTTGGCAAAACTGACCTCCCCCCTTGGGGATGCTCTCCTCTGGCTCAGGGCCCCAGGAGCTGTGAGGCTCAGCCTGCTTGGTTTTCCAGATTGGGCTGTCCCCGCTGCTGTTCTGTGAAGATGGGCACCCTTCATCGGGCACTCCCACCACCCCAGGATCCCATCCCAGCATGCCTCAGGGAAATGGCACGCCCATCGGCACACCCCGCCTCTGCCACCTTGACATGGGGCCGGAAGGGTACGGATTCCAGCTGCAGACTGTCACCGACAAGCCGGGGGTCTTTATCACGCAGGTAACTCCCCTCGATGCCCCTCGCCTCCGTGCCAAGGGTGGGCAAAATGATCCCGGTCAGCCTCAGACCCACACACACACAACCTGAGCTAGAGGCTCCAGACGGCACTGTCCTCTGGCATGGGTAACTCCCAGGACTCAGACTCCCTGCCCAGCACCCCTCTCCCCCAAGGCAGCGACTGAGCAGGGAACAGGCCTCTCTGTGTCCCTGGCTGCCCACGTCTGGCATCCTGAGCTGCCTCCCCACCACTGATTTCATTCCCAGCTGGAGGCAATGTTTGGTGGGGGTGGGAGTCAGGACTCCTGGGTTCTCTTCCCAGTTCTGGGAGGGGAATGGAGTCAGGGGTTATAGCAGGGCTGGAGGCTGGGAGCCAGGACTCCTGGGTTCTCTTCCTAGCTCGGGGAGGGGAGTAGTTACAGCAGGGGGCTGGGAACCAGGACTCCTGGCTTCCAGTCCCATTGCATTCACTAACTCGCCCGTGTGTAAAGCGCTGTGGACTCCTCAGTCGGCTGGCGCTGGGCAGAGCCACCTAGTATGGTTATTAGAAGGATTAGCTGGAAAAGCTCTGCCGTCCAGAGCCCACCCTGGACAATGGGCGTCGGAGGCTCTGAACGGACAACACCCCGTGCTGGTGGTTGGACAATGCTGGGGCAGCCCGCCTGCCGTATTCCAGAGCAGGTAGAGCCAGTGACTCCCCCGCCGCACCCACAGAGCATGGTCAGGAGCAGGGGACCTTGACCCAGCTCTGTGGCCTGCCCGTTGGATTGCACGGCTGAGAAGCCGGAGGGGCGGTGAAGGCTGAGTATTACCTGAGCGACATGGCTGCTGTCTCCCAGGTGGCCACGGGCAGCGGCGGGAAGCGAGCAGGCCTGAAGGAGGGGGACGTGGTGATTGAGGTCAACGGGAGGAACGTGGAGCAGGAGAGCTACAAAGAGGTGCTGGGGAGGATAAAGGAGAGTGGCCAGCAGCTGACATTGCTGGTGGTGGAGAAGGAAGAGCTCAGGAGCTACAGGGAGATGGACCTTGCAGTCACGGCT